GCTTTTTTCACCATTTTCAGTCTTCCTTACCTCAATATGGAAGCAACATATCTTCCATTATCAACACACCACACATTTTCATGCAAGGAAATGAATTAAACTAAAAGCATAGCACACCTTCACTTAACAAGGCTTGGAAGTTTCTTCGTTCTAGCTTCCTTCTACCTTGAGTCACCTCTCCATATACTTAAGAATTCTTATGAATATACTCTCAACCAATATCACCAATGATTCAAGTATTGAAAGTCAAGAAGGTTTTATTATTGAGGTGAATAGTTGAAATTAGTGCTGGGAATCTCATGACAATTGATGGGAAAGCAAGGGGAAAGTTTTAAGATAAAGGAAAGTAGTATTGAGGAATAGAAGATTGCATGAAGGAGATCGAGAAAGATAAAGATGAAAACATGGAAAAAGTGGAAGGGAAGTCTCGGAATACTCCAAAATATTCATGATTTTGTGTGTATAAAATTACCAAAATGGTCCCCTCAAGTTGTCCACTATGTTAACAACTTAATACGCTAAGCTTTTCTTTGTAGTGCAAGTCAAGCCTAATCCTTATAACTTTGTCTTTTGGTGTCCTTCAAAGTAGTCCACTTCTTTCCTCTATTTCAATTTACATCGGCATATCTAGGCCCACTCTCAGACTCTAATGGATCAAACCGGGTTTGGATCAGCCCGACATCGACTCTAAGCAACGACTCGATTTCAATTAGAAAAAATGGGAGTTTACATTGAAGTATTTCCCTTAAACCACAAGATTATATCGTATAACTGCCATTTTTGAAACAATTTATAATTCATTCAATCAATTGCTACCAAATTACTAAGGAAATTTTGGAATAGGTTTTTTTTTTTTTTTTTTTTTTTTTTTTTTTTAACAAATGAAAAGATCAGTTGTTTCCGTATCAAATTCAACCAAAAATTGCTCAATAAGAACTAATCTCCTACACATACTTATTAATTAGATATGCTTAAGGTGAATACTATAATTCACAGATTTTCATTTGTATACAAACAATCCCATCATATCGATCACCAAACTAAAATCATTTTATTTGCCATAAATTATTCAGTTTACTCTATTCTTTAGATTCAAATTATATTCAAACTATATATATATATATATATATATAACTAATGTCTAATAGCATTTCAATTTCAAAACCGTCAAGTTACTTTATTATCTTTTACTCTTATTTTATTATACGAGATCCTTAAACTTAGTCTAACTTATTAAACGCCCTACATGTATTAGGATCTTAATTTTACCCTGTCTAATACACTTACTACATATTAAACTCTCACTGTATTAGTTCCTGGATCATACTAATTATCCCTTAATTGTATACACTACCTTTATAATTCTGTTGACGATTCAATTTAATTACCCAACTTATCATTTTTCTACCACACACCCCTTTATATCCCTGAATGTCCTTAGGATTAGGTCCTTTTTCTTTTGTAGAAACCTCATATAGCCTCATAAAGCTTCTACAACTCGCAAATATTGTCATTACTATCGGCAAATCTTCCTATCTTAGTAATGATGACTCATAGACTCTAAATTATTTTTGCTTAGAATTTATTTCCATACAAGCTTAGTGAAATCAACATGAACCGCAATTTTTTTTTTTTTCCATAATCATGAAATCTCACAGTATACAAATTTTTATCTTAAATCCCCTGATACATCATTACTCTATTCTAATCACTCTTAATAATCATCAAATCTTAATAACCATGATTCCTAATTTATCAAAAACTCTAAATAATGACTATCATCTCATTTAAATCATACTAATTATACTCTCATATTTCCGGTAATGATTCTTTTCTTAATATCCATACAAGAACAGAACTAGCTCCATTGTCTTACTTATCTATTCATTGGTTACATCAAGGTCATAATAGGACATTATACCATTATGTCCCATATCATTCATCACTTCACTTAACCTATCTGTTACTATTTATATAACATAATTATCTAAATTTCTTAATTAAGTTCATTTACTTTTGCTCAGTTCATGAATTTCCAACATCTAGAATGCAACCATTATTTTAAACATAAAAAGGCTAAATCTCGTTAATTTTAATTCATAATCATGTCCTATTAACCCATAAGGTGCCACAATCCACACAATATCCGTCACTAGGTAAATAAAGATTAAATTAATCTATCTCTTATTAAGAATTACAATTTACTTTTCTTATAACCACAATAATTTATATTATTCCCTATATTCATACACATGAAAAGAGATATCAATACCACAATACACTTTACTCCACCAAGCAGTAATTACTTTTCATAATTAAAAATCACTTGATATAAATATTCCACCAAACATTATCTTTTACAAAAAATACTCATCATCAATTATTATTGCAAAGCACACCAAATCATTTATTATTTAAACCCTATAAATATTATTTATGTAATTACACCAATTAATATATATATTTCATCCAGAAGAATGCTTACCTCAATAGTCATAATAAATTCCACCAACCAACATCACGTAAACTTCATCAAATAGATATGCTAAAATCAATACTCTAATTAAGTAAATCCTAATGTGCTTGAATCCGAATCATTTAGTTTTCTTATCAATTCACACTAACAACTCAGTCTCAACATACCTCTTCCGTAGGCACACATATACACACTCAGTGTATTTTCATGTATATATTCCACGTCCAACACATATTAAATAACAGTAGCGTGCTTTTATCATTTACTTCAACCTATTAATCATATATCACTTATCACCTTACATACTTAAATTACAAATGAACATTATTTATTCCATAGAAGGATTTTTTTTTGGGCCACCTGCACGTTCGTCTGAATTTTCTCCTGCGTTTCAAAGCTTTTGATTACTGTCTAATAATAATTAATTTTTCCGTTTCATATTATGTTATTTTATTATAGTTATTTATGTTATTTATGACTTTTTGTAATTGCCTTAGTGCACACGTGCGCATCCACCCTGCACCAAAGACCGTCTGTTGTATTTAGGTGTCACTCCTTTGTTGGTTACGGCGATCCCACGTAGGGGAGTTTATATTCAATTTCCTAGGTTCCGCAAGTGACTTCTAAGGGCCCAACTAATGCTCTTGATTACACTTTGTCACGACCCGTTTCCGTGGGCCGGACCGCACTAGAACTTGGGTGGGCTTAAGGCCTCCCGAAGCCCGTTAGTAAGCCTTATTTGTATTATGCAAACGTCATTTACCTGTATGCAATAACTGCTGATGCAAGCCCAATATTTATTTCCAAGTTATGTATCACTAATACAGCTTCATATATTTAAATACTGACTTTTATTATTTTTACACCCAACTGGGATACAAATTGCACGTAACTCTACCTTTACATTTACATCGCCAGTTTCACTATCATTAACAATCTTCTAACTTATTGTCTACAATGCCATATGAGGTTTTCTTTCTTCTATTCATCTGAAAAAAAAATAGGTAGGCAGGCGTGAGCGCCAAACTCAATGAGTAGGGTTAGATAACCCTCTCACCCCACACAATCATACAATGCTAATGCTAAAATATTTTAATTTGGTAACTCGTTCAGTTATATGATCATGCAGGTTGTCACACAAATGGCAATACAACAGCAATCACAATTATTATCACATTCATTTAATCATATCACGTGGAAATTAGTCAGTGGCGTCACCTAAACCCCCGACGAGCCGTCCTCTCAAACAGCCCATCCTCTCAGACATGTGCACCCAGGGAGCCAATCCCCCATATCTAGCCGACCGGTCTAACCCTCACATGACCAGTCCTCTCATTCTTTTTACATTCTCTCTTTTCTTTTCCATAACATCCATATCATATCATCGGGTGCACACGGGGCGCCGATCTCTTCATTCTTACGGCGGCCGACGGATCCAATTTCAGAATTTCATCAGTTAATCGGACCCATAAATTTTACCAGGCGTCCTCACAAACCCATGAGTGACCCATTTCTCCCAATTTCCACACAAACAAAGCCACAGTATATATACACAGCACAACGTATTCAAGCAATTCTTATGCAACAATATGCAGACAGATGGTAGTTTAAACAATTATGCATTATACATTTACGTGATGCATGAATGCAAGCGGATGATACTAGTTATCTAACACTACTCCAGTTCTTTAGTGTCCTCTAAGGAACCTGCATTTTCTAAGCATCCTTTTCAGCCTTTTCCTCGTATGGTTCCGGATTTTATAAACCTTTACAGAAAAAAGAAAATTCTAAATAAGAATTTTAATTCGAAAATTAATAATTTAAGTACTCCTTATTAGTTTACTCCTTTATTAGTTTTGGTTATTAGTTATTTAATTCACTTAATTAAATTATACATATATTTCTAGATATATATATTGGGTTTCCTTATTTATCTATTCTAATGTATCACTTTTAAATAAAACGTTTAGGTATTTGTTAAGTAATATTTTATAATAATACGAATAAATTCATAATAATAATACGATTGATAATATAATATTAATAACAATAATCAGTTTAATCGTACTTCCTATTGAAAAATTCGACAACATTTCCTCTATAATCAGTACTACCCAAATTTTATATTTTTCCGCATGTCAACACACAGCCCATCCATCGGGCAATTCACATCAAACAATCCCGTCCATCATAACCATCATTTAGTAGTCACCCGTCATACATACATAGGCACTTGTTAATCCTATCTCTAATTCATTTTAAATTTCCATAATATCATATAATTACTTATACCGTAAATTATAATTTTCTTCTAGTTATACTTCTTAAAATTCCTGCAATTAACATATATAATTATTAGTTAAAATTCATATTTCAATATCAATACTGTAGTTACTTTTAATAATATTCAATTTAATTCACTTAATTACTCAATTAATTCGTTAATTAATTAACACGAAATTTATTCAACAATTGCAATTTAACTGCATAAATCTCCAATTTTAATAATTCAATTAATCTTATATCCAATTAATTAATTAATTCACGTTGTCAATTTTATACCGAAAATGGACAACTAAGCCTTACAATGTCCCGATGGAAAATCGGATTTGATTTCCGCGACCCGCGCGAAGAGGAGATCATTCTGCCTCTCGGAGTCCTCGCTCGAGTCTCGCCGGCCGGTCACCGGAATGCCGCCGTATACGGTGGCCGGAAAGTCGCAGATGCCCAGAACCAAGTGTCGTTCACGCCATCTGACTCGATTTTGCATAAGGAACCCAAATCTCAAATCAATTTCACCATTCAACACCCAATTGTCAAAAATCCTAAATCAATGCAAATTGAAAACTAGATCTAAATTTCTTCTCAAATCTCCATCCGATGATCAAATCATTAATAAAACTGTTGAAGATTCATTACCTATCGAGCTAAGCCATAGAAGATCACCGATATCGTCGAGCCTCACCGGAGAATCGCATTGGTACAGAGGAGGCAGTCGTGTCGCCGGGGAAGAGCTCGCGTCGTCGCTGCTGAGGGCCTGATCGGCATGACTGATGATGGCAACGTGACCGGTGGCAAGAGAGGGATCGATCGCCACCCACCATCGTCAGTCTGGTGGCCGGAGACAGAAGGAGAGGGAGGAGGGAGGGATCGCGCGCCTGGAGAAGAAGGAAAGGAAGGAAAAGAAAAAGAAAGAAAAGAAAGAAAAAAAAAGGCCAACGCTTCTAGACCATTTCGGTTCGATTCGAACCGGTTTGGTCTAATTCAATGATCAATGATTTGGCTCGATTCTTGCTCGGTTTGCAGGTTTCCTCGCCTTGAGTTTTCGAATTTTTTCAATCGGTTTTCAGTTCGGTTTTCTCACCGTGTTTGCAATAAATATTGAAATAAATTTACCAGTGTGTCGGTTCATTAAATTTAATGGAGAATAATAATTTTGAAATAAATTCGGGTTGTTTCTATTATATATTAATATATATATATATATATAATATATTATATTATAATATATTATATCTAATTAAAATTTGAAAACCAACAACCTCCTAGCCAGGGAACCCTGTGGCTTCAGTTGCTTGACAGCTCGTGCAAGGACGGGTGCGCCAATGGACAGGGCTCAACCCCACAGCGCGCTTTGCGATCACGGAGCCTGATTGTTCTGGGCCACAATGAATGGCAAATTGTATTTCCTTTCGTTCTTCAAACCATTTCAAAGCTTTTTTAATTTTGTTTATTTGGATTGAATCATTATTTATTGAAATCAAATCACAAAATTTAAAAAACCAATCAAATTAATTTTCTGGAAAATTTTTTCAATTAATATTAATTTTTGTCAAATATCATTCTAACATATGATTAATTATGAAACTAATCAAATTTGAAACTAATCAAATAATTAATACAATTTTTTATACCTTAAGAGGTAGGGATAGAAGTGGTACGCGTATTTTAGAATACACGCTCTGCTTCAATCCATTTAAAGAGGATATAAGTAGTTATCATTGAGTTTGTAATGGATATGGATAGTGAAATTAGTACCTGTAACAATATGGGTAATGAAATTACTATCCACAACAAATACAAGTAGGATACGAATAGAGATCTTTAGATACCCGTTACCCATTAACTGTTATATTAAACAAGTTTGGTAGTGGGTACCCTATTCATTATTAGTAAAAAATATATTTTAAATAAGTTCGAATTTGGATAGTTTAAGATTCGCGAGTACCCTACCTGTTTAAGAGGTGCTTTAAGCAGGTTTTAATTAGATACGAGTACTTAAAATGAGTATTTAAAACTGAGTTAGAACGAATATGAATAGTAAAATTTTAAACGCCTATACAGATAGTTTAAAATTTGTAGGTATCCACCCTACTTCCATCTTTATTTGAGGGGTGTATTATATTAAGATTCTGTTAGATTTTAAAAGATTTTTGAAATCTTTGGGTTGGATGGTGGATTTGGAAATAACTCTTTTATTCATACTTACCACTCTAAAATCTAATGTGAAATCAATAATTTTATAAGATGGTTCAAAAGCAGCAATTTTTTTAATGCCATCAAATTTATATAGATTTTCAAAAAGTTATAGTTGAATGCTATTAGACTTTTATAAATTATATAAGAGTCTGAATTGAATATCATAAATTTTAATAGACTCCAAAAAAAAATCTAGATTGAATACTATTAGAACTTTAAAATCTTAAAATTTAACAGACTCTTAATCCAATACATCCCCTTAATGTGAAAAATCTACTACTGCACTTAACTTACTGATTAACTTATATGATAAAGATAAAATATGTTGAAAAACTATTTAATTAACGTAGATGTTGAAAACCTATTTATATTTGGATAATTTAAATTTAGCATTTGAATTTTATACATTTTTCTATCAACTCTTTTTTTTTTATCAATCAAGTGTTTAAATTAATATTTCCTTCTCAATTCAATGCATTTCGCCGAAATTTCTGATTGAAAATCAAAATAAATTATTTAATTTACCCTATTTATGCACTTTATTCATTTATCTAGATTATTGCGCTTTTTTCTAATTCTTTTCATTATTTTTTATTTTGTTTCGGGATTTTGTTTCTATTTTGTTTCGGGATAAAAAGAGAATTAAAAAAATTATACTTTTTTAAGAAATACGAATTATACCTCAATAAAAAGTATAAAAAAATGAATAAAGAGAGATGAATTGGATAGATATTAATATTTTTTATTATTATATGAATAAAATTATTTATTTAATCTCTGGAAAATAATTTAGCCAAATGCCATTAATTGAAAAATTGTCGTTCAAATCCCTAATGAAGAATGTTTTTAAACTTATAAATTTATTAGTTTTTTTAGTATACGTGGGTCACATAGTACTGTTGGCTCAAGATTGTGATCCCTAAACAAACCAAATAAATTTAATATCTTGTGTATGCTAAAGTGATTTTATGTAGAATTTTAATGATGAAATTATTGAAGAATTCAAACTCCTACAACTCAAAAATTTTTATTGAAGATCATGAAGATAAATGAAGATTTTTATTGGCTAATACATTTATGAGACTAGGAATATCGTAGAATAGAGAGATAATATTATTATAAGCACAAAATAATTTTTATTATAAGCACAAAATAATTTTTTATCTCCTTCAAAATCATTTTTGAAATATTTTAATTAAATATCTTAGAGAAAAAGTTTTAATCATTGCTCTTCACGTTAATCCAAATGAAAAAGGTTTTTGAAAAAACACTTTGGAGTCTATTAAATGTATTTTTTTGCAAAAGTAGTCATATTTCTGATAGAACTGACATTTTCTGATGAAAAGTAACAAAATTTTCTAAAACAATCTCTCCATCTCCAAATTTTGTATATGTAACTGTGAAAAGGTGGTCTGACAACTTTTAAATATATTTTATACACCGACTCTTTAACTTAACATGTTAGAAATACTTATTGCTCTTTAAAGTATAGCCCAACGTTATTTGATAATAGAAAAATCATTCCCTTTTTGTATAAAAAGGTCTCTCTCTCTAAAAAATTTTGGGCAAAAATAAGAGATCATTTTTTCAGAGATTCAAATCTCTCTATTCAACCCTCTTTGCTTTTTTTCTTCTCCATTCTTCTAGAAATATTCTTAAGATTCTGTAACAACTCTTTTGAAGAACGGTTCTGATTTTACTTTCTATTTTCAAATCTATTTTCTATTCTTATTGTGCTTATAGTTGTATTTCCTTTGTCTATATAGATTCGTATAATCTATTGTAGGCTAGAGATTTTTAAAGAAAAACATTTGTGTATAGCGGCTAGAGATTTTTAAAGAAAAACATTTGTGTATAGCTTAGGTTGAAAAACTATGTTGTAAAAGTTATCAAGCAACCTTCTCCTTACTGAGATTCTAATGTCTTGATTCTGAGTTTTTTTGTTCTCTGTAAAACAAAAGGGTGGAGGTCAACTAAAACATTTGAAAATCTAGTGGGTTAAAGATTATATCTATGTTTATAATCTATTTATTTAAACGTTGGTTTGTCTCTTACCCTTTAAAAAAGATAATATAGGATGATCTCAAGATGATTCTTGGAGAGTGAATGTAGACGATTTAGTACCGAACTACTATAAAATCCTCTGTTATTCTTCTTTTAATTTCGGAAGTCTTGTTTAATTATATTATAATTACACATCTGTTTATATTTTCAAAAATGCAATGCAAAGTTGTTTATGATTTTCTAATTCTAGAGTGTAAAAGCTTTATGTTTATGGACTAATAGAATTCTAGATTTCAGTATTATAATTTCTCCAAATTTTAATTTATCCTAATATATTAAGAATAAATCATAAAATGAATTATAATCAGTTTTCTAATCTTTCATAAGCTTTATGAAAAAGTTATAATCGTGATAACTGTCTTTCAAGAAGTCTTTCGAATTCCACTTTAGAATTCTGACTTGAGTTTTAAAAGTTAATTTTTAGAAAGCCCAATTCACTTCTCTCTTGGACTGTGCCATATAAAATGGGACCCACAAATATGATAAATTTTATTGTATTTAAAATTCTAAATTCATGTTACGTCTCAATCAAATCTAAAATATAAAATAATTCATAAATTTAAAATATATACAAATTAGATTCTACCGTTCATCATTCAATCAAATTACCTAAGAGGATTATTTAAATGACAAAAAAAAGAAAAGGAAAAATGCATAACATCCTTCGTAAAGTTTTTTGTCAAAAGCAATATTCACAACCTGCGCATTACGCGGGCTCATGACTAATACTGAATAAAAGAGAGCTCTTGAATTTTTTTTTTTTAGGGCCCGTAGTAAGCCCTTGAAACACTACAAATTTGCTATCTCAAATCTAATTTTAAACATTTCGCCCAAATTATATAAACATTTTAAACATTACAAATTTCCCTGCCTACAATACACTATATTTAATAATTACAGGCTCACGAAGTATTTTATCTCCATCGTATCAATATACACAAGCTTAAAAGTATACAAATTCTATAACTGCGGAGTTCACGACGATGTATACATATAAGGTTCTTCGGATCATTACTCTATTTATTGATCAATTACTAAAAAAGTGATAAGCAGCAGAGTTATAGCTGGGATTTTAAAAAAAAACGTTCTTCCTGAAAAGATTTAAAACAAAAGAGATGTGAGTTTATTAGAGGAATAATAATTGATTGCACAGACACACGCTATGTCACACAAATTGGATAAATATATCAACCTAGTCATGCCGGAGCAGTTGATTGATGTCGTTCGACGTACAGTCTCAGTCTAGCGTACGAAATGTAGTGCATTAGTCAACTCTAGCTATCCATCTATGATATCGTGTTAAGCATCTTTCAATGATGGAATCAACATTCACGTGGATTAGTATTGGTCTTGGCCGTCACCGAAACCCCCCGATGAGCCGCCTTCCACATGGCTCATCCTCTCCATAAACGTGTGCACCAGGGAGGCCGATTCCCCCATACTGGTGCATCCTCAATCCCACTTGACAGCCCCATCTCATTCTGTCCATACCCAAAACAGGAGGGCAAAACACCGGTCGTCTGTCCACCAAATCTAGAGGTCATCAGGGCGCTCACAACAGCGAGGCCACCCTGACGGCTTGCGATCAAATCTAGCATTCTCATCAGGTGCCGCCCAAATAAAGAAAGCCAAACCTTAAGGTTTTCCATATCATCCAAATCCACAACCAATTAGGTAACACATGGGCGCCGATCTCCCATTTA